ATAGTACATGACTAGTGGAATTCACTGTAAATGGTATGCCCCAGGTAAAAGCAGCAGTTAAAAGGGAAAACATAGAATCAGTTTTTCGTTTTTGTTTTAAAATTTCCAAAATAAAGTGTTTTTTTATTTTAAATTTCTTCTAATCGGTTACGAATTACATTTGTCAAGCAGCTTGGTATGCTTTTTTTTTGTTAAATAAAATGCCAAGCTTATAGTGGAAGAAACGGAAACACAAGCAAGTGGTAGCTAATCAACGGAGTGCACACCGAGGACATTTAAATATTATACATATAAACAATACACTCTTCCAACGATATTTTGTGTTATACATACGGTGACCATAAATATGGATTCAAAATGAAAGACAATTTTTCAAAAAATATGCCTACATATATTAACGTAGCATAAAAATATCAAAGGAGTATTTATGATTCTAATTTCTTAATACATTTTAAACTTTAAAAAATGAATCACGTTTTCTTCATCGATATTAATCTTTTTTTCACATGAATATTTATAAAAGTATCGCACGACATATTACAATTACAATAGCTTACACGAAAAGTGAAAAGCTTTAAAATATTATTTTATAGGCAAATGTTGAGTCGTTCAAAACGGAAACAATAAAAATTTTTGTTTTTTTTTGGTACTTTTCGCAGGTATTTGTCAAGAATCGACGTCAAGAATCGACGTAAACGACGAGTTACAAAGTTCCCTTTACAGGAATATATAATTTGTGCAGATTGCGCTCCATAGCATCTACATTTCTACATTTCTGTGGCTCAAAATTTACTGTAGTGATATATCTTCCTTATTGAATTTTTAAAATAATGGAAAAAACATATTCAAATGAATCTGCGTATTTGATAGAAAAGCTCACTTTCCTCGACGGCGACGACAAAATGCAAATGGTAATGATAACTTTCATTGAAGTCGCCACAAGTCATATATTTTAGTAAGAGGCACATCAATACCCTTCGAGTTGTAAGTTGCTTACGTTGATTGGGAGATTTTTTCATGAGATATTGAAGAAAAGCTACGAAAAGTACCAAAAATCACTTTTTTGAAAAAAAAATCCATCCATTGTCCGATAATTTTGGAATAACGAATAAAATGTGGGACAAATGCAGGACACTTGGGGAAAGTTCAGTACATTTTCAGGGTTTTCAGATTTGAAAAACTACGCAGGACCGCCCTTTGAAAAGCGGTCCCAAGCTGGAAGCACAATTGGGTCCATATCGAAAACTTGCAAAATTTCGGGCGGCACAAAAGATTTGTCGATCACAACTTCAAAACCGAATTTTTGTAAGCTCGATTATAAGTGCGGCAGGGGCTCATGTTTTTTACATGGTTAATTTGGAAATATATAAATTTTAGATAAACTCACAAAGTTAACAAATATGCCAGCTGACTTGATTGGATATTTATATGCTGCTACTGTGGCTGCTGGTGGCATTATAGGCTATGTTAAAGCCGGTTCCATCCCCTCGTTGGGCGCTGGTTTGGCCTTTGGTGCTATACTTGGCGTAGGTGCACATTTTAATTCACAGGAGCCCCCACGTCCACTCTTGCAGTTGGGCACAGCGGCTGCTTTGGCCGGCATGATGGGTGCACGTTGGCAACGTTCCGGAAAACTAATGCCTGCTGGCATGATTCGTGTGATATCCGTGGCAGCCATATTGCGAAATTTGGTTGCATACAACCGGTACTTGCCCCTCCCAGGAAGGCAACAGTAAATGCGTATCGCTGCCTATATTGCATATAAACTCCATTAATTAAAGCCACGCTTAATTGTCGAATCTGAAAATGAAATGAATGAATTGAATAACAATGATAATTTACTAATTACTACCAAACTTACCACGTGCCAAATCCAGAATGAAATTTTCAGTCATTCAGGAAGTTATTGCTATGTCAAAACTTTGACATACGGTATTAGCTCAACGTTTGACATATGTGATTGGGCGAATTGCGAGCCTTCATAAGAGTAGGGCAAGCAGCACCATCTGGTTGTCAGGTGCACAACTTGATAATAAGCGGCGAGAAAAAAATTCATTTTGTGGTGCATGCTATACAGTGTTGCCAGGTGATTGTATTGAGAAAGCGTCAGTTTGGTTATCAAAAAAAATTTTTAATAAACTGCACCAGGAAGCCTCTGGATTTTTTTTCATTTATGCTAGCTTCTGATGATGTATGTAAGAATAAAAAGTTTAAAAAGTTGGATTTTTTTTCATTTATGCTAGCTTCTGATGATGTATGTAAGAATAAAAAGTTTTACGTTTTTTTTTACGAATTTAAAAATTCGCATTTCTTTAACAAAAATACTTTAATTGGAATCAAATCACAGGTTTATCGTCTTTTTTTTGTTCTCAAACTGCAACTTAACTATATGCATTAAAAACTGTACATACTCACTTAGTTTCTACCTGGCAACACTGATGTACTATTTACTGGCTTAGCCCGGTCTCGAACCCATAGTGAGGAAATTTTCTTTCGCCGTGCCAGGCCAAGTGGTGAAACTCACCACAAAACCACAAATCACACCTTTTACGAGATTACAAATTTCACGGTGTGTTCGGGGAAATAGTGATCGAAAAGTTTGTACTACATAAAGGTCTGTTCGATGCAAAAGCAAATGGCAACAAATGTAATGGAATAAAAATCTTATAGCGATGGTCACCTTCCACAGATCTGTTTTAACCCAAATACGGAACCTTACGCTCAAAGTCATAGAAAATAAAGAAGACTTTAACCGCTTTTTAAATTGAAGCTTTTTTTATAAAAACGCCACTTGGTAGAGCTTTGTAAGTCTATTTATTTTTTAAGAGTAAGACCATACTTAATACCGCACAAGTACGCGGAGACTGAAAGTCTGAATTGGCCCAGTTTTGTACTTCACCAAGTCAAAACAAATTAAATAAATAAACAAATAGTATATATATATATATATATATATGTACATAAGTATATCACACGTATATATAAAATGTGCTTTCACGAGATATACAGGCATACATATATTCGCCACTTGCCACCCAACCCAAAACTAATAGTACGTAACCTTTTACACCTACGGACATAACTACGAGACTCATTTACAGAATGACTCGTTTCTCGGCTAATCGCGCACATGCAGAAGAACGCGCTGATAAATTCACGGTTCTATGCCGGCTATGCGGCGGAGCGCATGGCATTCGACTATGCCCCCTTTACCGCGGCAAAGCGGTCGAAGCAAGGCTGCGTGCAGTCCTGCTGCATAAATATTGCCCAAACTGCCTCTCGCCGTTCCACCGCCTCGACATGTGCAGCAGCACGGATCGATGCCACCGATGTCGCGAAAAGCATCACACCTCGCTCCATCTCGATGACTGCGAAGACCAAAGGCACCCAGCGAACGCGATCAACGACGGCGAGAGCTCGGACGGGGCACTCTCTATCGACGTTACGGAGCAGACGAAGTCGTGGGCGCAGCAGGTCGAAGAGGAGGAGTTAGAGGGGTCAGAGAGGACAGACTCTTCCCCACATGAGCGACAAAAGCGCAACTCTGGAACTGGCACACCGAGACCGTTAGACAAGTTACAACCACGCGCGGGCGACGCGGAAACTCGTTCTTTCCGCTCGCCAACGCGTGCACAACACAACTGGCGCGACGCGGAAACTCGTCCTTTCCGCTCGCAAATGCGTCAGCAATACAACCGACGCGACGCGGAAACTCGTCCTTTCCGCTCGCAAACGCGTCAACAACACAACTGGCGGCAACACGGCGGCGCGGAAACCAGTCCTTTCCGCCCGGCATCACGATCGCAACGCAAGCCAAAACGACACGACGGCGCGGAAACTCGTACTTTCCGCTCGTCTAAGCGATCGTCTAGGCTACGCAAAGCAGCACCATACCACAAAACGCGCACAAACGACAGCAACATCAATAGTCGTGCCTTACAACGCGCTCCACCGACCGGCTTCCGAACGGGCCGCCTAGTGCAAAGCGCCATATCAACGCCGATCATTCGTGCGCTTATCCCCATCGCGCCGACCGCAATAGTGCGGATTGAAGCAAGGGGCCGCCTTCATTTGGTTCGCGCAATGATTGACCCTTGCGCACCAAACTCATTGGTTGATTCGGAACTGGTGAGAGATCTCCAACTGGAACGCAACGGATCCGGACGTCTGCAGCGTTGCACGGTCACCATGCGAGGAAGATACAGCAGCTCCGACCGCATTACGACCCAAGCAGTCGTGCTGGACCACCATATACGTCTGAGTCCACCGTCGAACCTGGACCCTAAGGTTGCGGCCCCGTTCCAGTTCATGCGCTTGGCGGATCCACAATTCTTCCGCGCGTCACCAATACGCCTCACACTGGGCCTCGATCTGCATGCGCAGATGATGGTGAGCGGGACCCCCCCATCCACCGTGGGCGGTCTCCTGGTCCAGGCGACCATATACGGTCTGGTTGTTTCGGGAGCCTGCCAACCATAAACGTAGAGATTAAGTAGACAAAACCACACATACACACACACTCATCACACACATACCTAAAAATTTAAATAAAAAAAGTGCATTGAAATTTCAAACCACGTCTGTTTCAATTAACAATGTCCTTTTCTCCACAGCCTCAGATGAACCGGTCGCGACGAACGCGTTGGCGAATAAGCAGCCCCGCGCAGTACAAAATCCGCGCTGCATATTATAGTTAGTCCTTAAGACTTTCCTCACGTGCGTGTGACGGTTGAGACGCGACTCCTTTTCTTTTTCATAGCTTGCTTACCGCAAGGGGGCCGGTATGTTTAGGTCCGCGACCTAAATATATTGCACCACCCTAATCCGCGTTTTGTCACTTGATGTAAGAGCACACAAACACATACATAAGTTACGGCTATCTTTCCAGCCGCTAACAACAAGCCCCACTGTGAGGTAACTTATTGGAGGGGAAACTTAACGAAAGTTACTGTGCGGTGGGCTACATCCCTTTTCGTTTGTTGGCACTCTTTCACTTCTTAGAAGACAGCAAGGAGATCACGTCAGCCATCACACCACGTTCGGTAAGCCAACTCTTGTGAGCCACACTATTCAACCTCATAGATATTTACAAATAAAACGATTTTTAATTTCACTGCACTAAAACCACTGTGTCTTTTATTTTCTCCTATTTTCGTTACATTAACTTTACGCTGGTGCGCTCCATCTTCGTGCGACGCCACCTGCGTAAATAACTTGTTTTAAAACTAAATTCTTATACAATTATATTATAAGTTAAGTGAGTTGTAACAATATAGGTTTTAATCGAAAGAGTCTTGAAAGGGCGGTACTTTTAAGCTACGTATGTATAGAAGAGTTTCCACATGTTTGAAAATTCAAATTCTAGGTGAATTATAGGAACTAACGGTTTAAAAGGTAAAAATCAAACAATACTGGTATCAATCGAAATAGTTTTTAAATGGCTTCATTTCAAACCAACATGAAAGTATGAAAAATTATCACAAGAGAGAGATTTAAGGAAGTTTTAGTTTACTAATATTTTGAAGATGGTTAAAAAATTTTAAATTTGCTTTTCGCACAGTTTTAGTATGTTGAATTCAATTGAAATAAGTTACACATAATGTAGCATGCAGAAATTTCATAAACTCCGCGAGGCGGGCGAGGGCGAGGGCGATCTAGGTTAACATAAAGACTAAAAAGCAGAAGAAAAATTTTTCGATTAGCCTATAACCAGAAAGCGAGGCTCATGCGAAACAAAAAAAAAAATAGTTTAACTTTGAAAGCCAAAGAGCAGTTTAAAAATAAATGAATACAGATAGCTAGGTTTCTTTTATTCGTCACTCGAGTCCCACCGTGGTAGTTGGCGCGTATGCCGGGGCGCCTTTATTGTTGATTGGGCAGAGCACACTTACATAAATTCCAGTCGTCGGGCATGCGTTCATCTGACCATATTCTACATAACAGTTGATGCATGCACCCAATCAGCTTCTCGCTTGAATAGCTCAGCTGGCAAGCTGTAAGCTTCAGCAGAATTGCATTAATACTTTCACAAAATCCACCTTTTTTTTAATTGAACGGAGTGCAAACCGACTTATTCGGTTTAAGGGCTCACCGAAGTCTGCCGCGTCTGTTCATCAGTAGGTGCGGCTGCAAGCCGGCATCTGCCTTGCAGCCAGCCGGTCGCTCTATAAACGTGAATCCAGTTGAAAAGCCACTCATCCCAGTAATGGTTGTGCGCTGGGATTGGGACCCGCCACGTAAAAATTCCTACCAATAAAAGCCACAAAATGGCCTAGGATGACGGCGCACAAATTTGGTGTGAGATTTGTGGTTGGACGGAGACTACGAGACCTCGTCTCCAGGTTTACTCGCATGAGTGAGCGATCCGCATGAAAGCCCAATTTAAAAACGAAAGCCTCATTTGTGTGCACGCCTTGAAGAAGGAGGACGACGATGAAACCAAAGTGCACTTATACGAGAGCTTAGAGGAAGCATATGAGCGCCGCCCCCGCCACGATGATAAAATTATGCAGGACGACTTTAACGCCAGGGTGGGCAAGAGAGGCATTGTTGGTCCAACAGTCGGAAAATTCAGCTTTCATAACAACACCTCCGATAACGGAGAGAGGCCCGTCGACGTTTCCGCGGCACGGAACATGGTAGTTGGTAGTACCACACACCAGCAAAGAAGGAAAAACCAAATAAATCGAGTTGTGATAGACAGACTATACGCTTCGAGCGTTCTTGATGTGCGTTCTATCCGAGGAGCCAACAACGACTCGGATCACTACATTGTTGCAGCCAAGGTCCGCAT